GGAGGCATCCTTTAGGCAAGGAATTGTGAGGAATAAAGATATCTGATCATGGTGTGAAATGTCTGGAATCATCTAGTAGATCGGACTTACTTGCGTGCGAAGTAACTACGTCGGAAAAGCTGGGAGATTAATTCGTTTACGGACGGCCAAACACAGATAGGTGGTAAGACGGGATGACATCAGCTCTCGAATCGTGACTCAGTCAAGCGGGCCCGGTTACATCTTCAAGTTCTATGCGGCCTCAGAGTCATGGCGTGCTCAATTTACGGTCTTCTGAGCTAGAGCTCACCCCTTACCACACTAATCTATCTCGTCCCTATTCGACATCCAGCCCCTGTCGAGTAAGTAACACGCTGTTCGCTAACATCAGTGTCAAATTCGCCGCACTTAAAGATCTGGATGACGATGACTAAACAGCTGCGATGCATCCGTGCACTGATTATCTTGTTGCTTGCAACTGCACAAAACCTGCACTTCTTTGAATTCCCTATTCTTCCATGTTTATGCGTCTGGTGATATGTTCGCGTTTGGATCCGAAACTGTACCAGCGCTAAAGTCCCCCCCCCTATCACAAATTGCCTCCTACAACTGAGTTTATAGCTTGTAGTGACGAAAGTCACTGTGGGGGGATGGCTCGATAAAAATGTGGAGAAACTGAGCCCCCAGGTATTTTGGGTATATTCTTTCCTTCTTTAACTAGCCATGTCTCCGCCAACACTTTACGATTCACACAACTGACGAGGTCAACAATTGTCTCCTGAAGTTGACCCTGTCGCCAATTGCGTAGGAATCCTTTAGGCATGGTCCAGACCTTCCCCTGTGTCTCCTTCACTTCACTCTTCCTACAATCAGCAAATTCTGATAGCAAGACAGACAGAAACTGGGCGAGGGTGCAACGATTGGTAACCTAGGCATTTCGCCTACGCGTGTCACATGCTAACACTTCCACAAACCTACACATAGGGGAGTTTAGGAGAGCCGTGAACCTCAGATAAGTAAGGGTGCCATAAAAAGGACATTAATAGTGCGTCACTGTAGCCTGGCACCCTATCCTAAATAGGACTG